GAGACAGAGCCTTGCTTTTTTGCCCAGGTTGGAGTGCAGTGGCACAATCTCAGCTCACTGTTACCTCCACCTCTAGGGTTCAAGCAGTTTTCCTGCCTCAGCCTCCAGAGTAGCTGGGATTAAAGGCACACATCACCACACCCAGCTAATTTTTGTATTCTTAGTGGAGACAGGGTTTTTTACCATGTTGGCCAGGCTGGTCTTAAACTCTTGACTTTGTCATCTTCCCGCCTCAGCCTCCCAAAGTGCTGGGATTACAGGCATGAGCCACCACACCTGGCCCTCCTTTTTGTTTTTTTAAATAGATGAGGTATTTTAAGAACACATCGAGAACTATTTTTTTTGTTAATTGTTAATTAAACTTAATTCTAAAGCAGAGATTTTATTCATCTTGTCCTGTAGAGGTATCAAGTTGAATTTATTCTTTCAGTGTTTTCTTCCTTTTTTTGTTTTTGAAATTATAATAGAATTATTTTATATTCATAAGCAAGCATAATAATTATGCAGAATAATAATATATTCTAATACCATATAATTGGGTTTTTAAATAATTAGTTAATCACTAGAAACTGCAGGTTTGAAATGTCCTTGACATATTATTATGAAATGTTTCAAAAATACATTCTTCTTTTCCTTTTTTGTGGTGTAGTCTCAGCTCACTGTAACCTCTTCCTGTCGGGTTCAAGTGATTCCCCTGGCTCAGCCTCCTGAGTAGCTGGGATTACAGGCGCCCACCACCACACCTGGCTAGTTTTTGTGTTTTTAGTAGAGATGGGGTTTCACTATGTTAGCAAGGCTGGTCTGGAACTCCTGACCTCGTGATCCACCCACCTCGGCCTCCCAAAGTGCTGGAAACACAGGTGTGAGCCACTGTACCTGACCAAAAATACATTCTTCTGAACCTCTCCCTTATGTTGGAATTATGAAAAACGAAAACCAGTAACAGACTTCAGTCACTAGAAGACAGTACTTAGAGCATTTAATAACACACCTGGCACAGAGGCCAAAAGCTAAAAACTGCAGTTTAGAACATGTAGTAAGTTAGCTTTCAAAAAGGCTGGCCAGGGAACATGCCTTTCAAAGTGTTACAGTATGTGTCCAATCTTTTCCATTAAATAGGTAAATTTGAAGATAAGAAACAAGCATAGTTAAGATTATCATTTAGAAACAGATTTTGGTGATGGTACTTAAGGTAGAAAAAGAGAAAAGAGATTATTTTTAAAAATCTGTTCTACCATAAAAAGGAGGAGGAGAAGCGAAGCTATAGCCTGTCAGTTGTGTGAGTGACCCAGGAATATATTGGGGCCTTATAAAGTTTCACAACTACTTTGAACTGTCTATAAACTTAGCCTCAGTATCTTGAAATTCCTAAATTGGTAAGGAAGAAGGAAAGGAGTGATGTGCCAACCTGGGTTATATAAATCAGTTGTCAAGCAGTTAATTCAAGGACATGTGAAGAAGGGAAAAAAAAAAAAAACAGTTGTCAGCCAGTCACGGTAGCTCACACCTGTAATCCCAGCACTTTTGGAGGCTGAGGTGGGAGGATCATGAGGTCAGGCGTTCAAGACAAGCCTGGCCAACATAGTGAAACCCCATCTCTACTAAAAATACAAAAAAAAATTAGCTGGGTGTGGTGGCGGGTACCTGTAGTCCTAGCTACTTGGAGGCTGAGGCAAGAGAATTGCTTAAACCCAGGAGGCAGAGGTTCGCCCTTGTTGCCCAGACTGGAATGCAATGGTGCAGTCTCGGCTCACCGCAGCCTCCACCTTCCAGGTTCAAGCAATTCTCCTGCCTCAGCCTTCGAGTAGCTGGGATTTCAGGCATCCGCCATCACGCCCAGCTAATTTTTTGTATTTTTAGTAGAGACGGAGTTTCTCAATGTTGGTCATGCTGGTCTCAAACTCCCGACCTCAGGTGATCCACCCACCTTGGCCTCCCAAAGTGCTGGGATTATAGGTGTGAGCCACCTCACCTGGCCTCTTTTTTTTTGAGATGGCGTCTCACTCTCTTGCCCAGGCTGGAGTGCAGTGGCTTGATTTCAGCTCCCTGCAACCTCTGCCTCTTGGGTTCAAGTGATTCTTCTGCCTCAGCCTCCCGAGTAGCTAGAACTACAGGCACGTGCCACCACACCAGCTAATTTTTGTAGTTTTGGTAGGGATGGGTTTCACCATATTGACCAGGCTGGTCTGGAACTCCTGACCTCATGATCCGCCCGCCTGGGACTCCCAAAGTGCTGGGATTAAAAATTAAAACATTAAAAATCATTAAACCAGGCATGGTGGCTCACACCTTGTAATCCCAGCGCTTTGGGAGGCCATGGTGGGCGGATCACAAGGCCAAGAGATTGAGACCATACTGGCCAACGTTATCTCTAAGCAGAACAGGAGTCAGAGCAGCTTTTGTCAGAGATTTTATTGTCAACAGAGTAGTCCTCATTCTGGGGTGGGTGGGTGGGGGTGTGTGTGTGTGTGTGTGTGTGTGTGTGTATGTGTGTATGTGGTTTGAGACCATCTTGCTTTGCCACTCAAGCTGGAGTGCAGTGGCCTGATCATGCCTCACTGCAGCCTTGAACTCCTGAGCTCAAGCTGTTCTTCCACCTTAGCCTCCCAAGTAGCTGGGACC